ATTTTAACAGTTCACTGTTCTTATTATATTTGTGTAGATTCAATTCTAAATTTATTGAACTCGTTGAATAAAACAGTATTATGCTCGCCAGAGGCTCGCATAATATGATTTTATTCAACTCTTTCAATAAATTTAGTATTAAACTACACTCATTCAATATCCTCTATATATTGTGTCCGAAATTCATTTAAGCTTTAATATTATGTTGATAAATTGTTGGTCCACTGAAGGTTAGAGTAACATATAATCTATTTTATGTAAATAATTTTCGTAGAAAAAAATAATATCGGTTGCTTTGGAGATTTAGGGTAAAACTCCCTTTGCTATATTAAGTAAGCACCATATGAGCCGCGTCATGACAAAACCAACATAATGGCTTTGCGACCGTGCAGTCTGATCAGGATCCATGCTGTTCGCTTACAAACCCTATTACAAGTAGAGAAATTGATAGCGAACAGCATGGATCCTGATCAGACTGCGCGGATCCGCAGGCTGGTCTGGATCCATGCTGGTCACAAACGCACTATGTTGATTTTGTCGTGATGCAGCTCATATATATTTAATACTGATGATAGGGACGGATGTTACAGACAACTGTTACATAATTGCCGGAGAAAATGGCAATTTTTGTAACATTTTCATTGTTAGACTATCAATAAGCACCAGTAACATGGTTTTGTCATGCGTAATGCGCATTTGTTTCACAATTGGATACTTTATGTGGGGTGAGGGGGTGTTTTAGTTTTTTTCATCACATTTTATTTTTCTCCTCTATAATGAGTGTTATGGTAAAAATGTTTTAAATATATTATATATAGGATTACCTATACCAAGTGATATATATCATCGGAAAGGTCATTACATTTTCTATGTGCATGTAAAAATAATTAAGTAAGAAAATGAAACAGATAATAGTGGTGGTTACTCCATTATCACCAAAAAAAAAAAAAAAAAAAAAAAAAAAAAAAAAAAAATCCAAAAAAGATGCTTATGTATTACATTACATATAAAATTGGGCAATTTTAGGGTATAACAATGTCTGTATCTATATTTTGAGTCATGCTATTATAAAAAACTTTAAGGCACATTTAATGTATTAATTAAGTTTGGCATTTGGGAAAACCTAACAAAGTAATTGCAAATGCAATATATTTTTCAAAAAAAAAGCCTGCATTATATGTTGTTTGTTCCGAAATAATTTGCCCATTTACTGTGCAGCAGGCAATGTGCACTCTCAGCAGGACCTAATGTTTCTATGTCTACTTATTTACAAATACATAAATATAGAGATAAATAAGTTATATGCAAATAAGATTTCACAAGTACTATTTCAATGATCTAAGTCATATTGGTTTTTATTTCCTTTAAAGGTTGTGAAAGTGTGCTGCTCGACAGAACAAGATGTCTGTTGTTTCCAACAGAATCATTACACACGTTCACTTCCTTGGTGTGAAAGTTCTTGTTACTTTTGGACGGGTCTTTTGGCCTGGTTTTTTTGCCACAGCTGGGTGTTAAAGGTTGTGAAAGTGTGCTGCTCAACAGAACAAGATGTCTGTTGTTTCCTACAGAATCATTACACAGGTTCACTTCCTTGGTGTGAAGGTTCTTGTTACCTTTGGACGGGTCTTTTGGCCTGGTTTTTTTGCCACAGCTGGTCTATGTCCAATAGTGTACTCACCACATGACGACACAATATGGGTTGGTACCTCAACTTTACTGGTTGCGTTTAAGAATTTAAATTGATAATTATGCTTTTCTGATTTTGAGCGCCACACTGCTAGCAGTCCTTTGTGCCCCTTAGCAGTCCTCCAATTCATCGAAAACATAAATTCTATCACCAAAATTATTTTTTCTCTTAAAATATTACATTTTTTATCTATAAACCTACTACAATATATTATAATAATGACCTAGGAAGTAACTTAAGGTCCTTTGTGCCTCCCTAGCAGTCCTTTGCACACATGAGCAGTCCTTAGCGGTCTGGCAACTCATCGAAAACATAAATTCTATCACGAAAATTATATTTTTTCTTAAAATTATACATTTTTTCTCACTAAATATACTACCATATATTATAAGAATGCCCTAGGAAGAAATTCAAGGTCCTTTGTGCCTCCCTAGCAGTTCTTTGCGCACCTGAGCTCTCCTTAGCGGTCCAGCAACTCATCGAAAACATAAATTCTATCACGAAAATTATATTTTTTCTTAAAATTATACATTTTTTCTCACTAAATATACTACCATATATTATAAGAATGCCCTAGGAAGAAATTCAAGGTCCTTTGTGCCTCCCAAGCAGTTTTTTGCGCACCTGAGCTCTCCTTAGCGGTCCAGCAACTCATCGAAAACATAAATTCTATCACGAAAATTATATTTTTTCTTAAAATTATACATTTTTTCTCACTAAATATACTACCATATATTATAAGAATGCCCTAGGAAGTAATTTAAGGTCCTTTGTGCCTCCCTAGCAGTTCTTTGCACACATGAGCAGTCCTTAGCGGTCTGGCAACTCATCGAAAACATAAATTCTATCACGAAAATTATATTTTTTCTTAACATTATACATTTTTTCTCACGTAACATACTACCATAATATTATATGAATGCCCTAGGAGATATTTAAATGTCCTTTGTGCCTCCCTAGCAGTCCTTTGTGCCCCTAAGAGGATTTTTAAGATTCTTTGTACCTCCCTAGCAGTCCTTAGCGGGCCTGCAATTCAACGAAAACATAAATTCTATCACCAAAATTATATTTTTCCTTAAAATAATACATTTTTTATCTATTAACCAATACAATATAATATAAAAATGCCCTAGGAAGTAAGTTAAGGTCCTTTGTGCCTCCCTAGCAGTCCTTTGCGCACCTGAGCTCTCCTAAGCAGTCCAGCAACTCATCAAAAACATAAATTCTATCATGAAAATTATATTTTTTCTTAAAATTATACATTTTTTCTCACTAAACAATTACTACCATATATTATAAGAATGCCCTAGGAGATATTTAAATGTCCTTTGTGCCTCCCTAGCAGTCCTTTGTGCCCCTAGGAGGTATTTTAAAATTCTTTGTACCTCCCTAGCAGTCCTTAGCGGTCCCCCAATTCATCGAAAACATAAATTCAATCACCAAAATTATATTTTTTCTTAAAATAATACATTTTTTATCTATAAACTTACTACAATATAATATAAAAATGCCCTAGGAAGTAATTTAAGGTCCTTTGTGCCTCCCTAGCAGTTGTTAGTGCACCTGAGCATTCCATATCGGTCTGACAACTTTTCAAAAACATGAATTTTATCACTATCATGATATTTTTTCTTAAAATAATACATTTTTTGCCATTAAACATACTACCATGTATTATAAGAATGCCCTTACAGGTATTTTAAGATCCTTTGTGCCTCCTTAGGAAATATTTTAAGGTCCCTAGCAGTCCTTTTCGCACCTGAGCAGTCCTTAGCGGTCCTGCAACTCATCTAAAGCATAAATTCTATCACCAAAATTATATTTTTTTCTTACAATAATACAATTTTGTCTATTCACTTACTACCATAATTTATAAGAATGTTCTAGGAGGGATTTGAAGGTCCTTTGTGCCTCCCTAGCAGGTGTTAGTGCACCTGAGCAGTCCTTAGCGGTCCGACAACTCTTCAAAAACATGAATTTTATCACTATCAATGATATTTTTTCCTTAAAATTTACATTTTTTATCACTATTAACATACTACCATGTATTATAAGAATGCCCTTACAGGTATTTTAAGATCCTTTGTGCCTCCTTGGGAAATATTTTAAGGTCCCTAGCAGTCCTTTTCGCACCTGAGCTGTCCTTAGCGGTCCTGCAACTCATCTAAAGCATAAATTCTATCACCATAATTATATTTTTCTCTAACAATGATACATTTTTGTCTATTAACTTACTACCATATATTATAAGAATGTTCTAGGAGGGATTTGAAGGTCCTTTGTGCCTCCCTAGCAGTTGTTAGTGCACCTGAGCAGTCCTTAGCGGCCCGACAACTCTTCAAAAACATGAATTTTATCACTAAAATTATATTTTTCCTTATAATTATACATTTTTTATCACTAAACATACTACCATGTATTATAAGAATGCCCTTACAGGTATTTTAAGATCCTTTGTGCCTCCTTAGGAAATATTTTAAGGTCCCTAGCAGTCCTTTTCGCACCTGAGCAGTCCTTAGCGGTCCTGCAACTCATCTAAAGCATAAATTCTATCACCAAAAATTTTTTTTTTCTTACAATAATACACTTTTGTCTATTAACTTTCTACCATATATTATAAGAATGTTCTAGTAGGGATTTGAAGGTCCTTTGTGCCTCCCTAGCAGTTGTTAGTGCACGTGAGCAGTCCTTAGCGGCCCGACAACTCTTAAAAAACATGAATTTTATCACTAAAATGATATTTTTTCTTAAAATAATACATTTTTTGTCATTAAACATACTACCTTGTATTATAAGAATGCCCTAGGAGGTATTCTAAGGTCCTTTGTGCCTTCCTAGCAGTCTTTTGTGTATCTGAGCAGTCCTTAGCGGTCCGACAACTCATAAAATTTTCACCAAAATCATATTTTTTCTTAAAATTAGAATTTTTTTTTCACTAAAAATAATACCAGGTAATATAAGAATGGCCTAGGAGGTATTTTAAGGTCCTTTGTGCCTCTTTAGTAGTCCTTTGTGGCTCCTTAGCAGTCCTTAGCAGTCCTTAGCGGTCCTTAGCAGTGTTTAGTAGGACCCGAAATAAATGGCATGTGATAACATAAATACTTGAAATATATGTAGGTCAGTTCCACAGTTGTGTTTACATTTCGAAGCTTGGGATCTTTAGGAAATTGAAGCATTGGTAAAAAATTGACATTTTTAAAACGTTATGAAATTGTTGTTCACGTGTTAGACACTTAACCGTCTCATACTAATATAAGCAAAAATTTAAAACTAATTATTGTAATAGATAATACTTAGTTTTTTTTATTTTCAGGGGCGGCGAAGGGCAGAGTCTATACTCCAAATATCTGTGGCACAAATATGACTGATAAACCGTTTGAAGAGTTGGGAGCAGTTGGGGGGCTTCATGACAGTAAAGAAGAGACTTCGGGAATAAATACGAATTTCAAGTGTGAACCTTGTCTCTTTGAAAACATTGAAAAAGAAGCAAGTACTTTTTGTATGGATTGTTCCGAGCATTTATGTGCTAGTTGTGCTCGTGAACATAGAAAGAATAAACTGTCAAGGGATCATAAGTTGTTCGAAGGTGAGGATATTTCAGATAAATTTACAACAATTGCGATAATGAAAAAGATGATGCATTGCCCAGATCATCCCGACACTGTTGTGATGTATAAATGTGAAGATCACGAAAAATATATTTGCGTCACGTGTTTGGCAGAATGTCACCGTAAATGTTATACGGTGAATGAAATCGCAAAAGCTAAAACCCCTGTAAATGAGAACATGCATGCACGTGTAGAAGAGACATTATCTCAACTACAAGACACTGCAACAGCTTCAAAAAGGGAATCAGAAGTAAATATTACCACTTATAAGGATCAGCTGTCTAGAGTTCAATTACAACAACAAAGTCTTCTCAGCAGTATTTATGAAAAATTGTCACAAGCAAAGGCCAATCTTGAGTCCGAAACACTTAATCTTGTCACAAATGAAGTAAATTATCATGAAAGGAATTTAACGAAATGTAAAGAAGCAGATGTCGAAGGAGAACAATTTAGGAAGGTATTTGAATTTGTTATGGAATCTGGGAACTCTGCTGAGAGGAGTGTTATCCCTGATCTTATATTGACCAGAGCAAAGGATCTGCATGAAACAATCAAAGTAGAAAATATGACAGAAAAGTCACTCATTTTTGAAACAACACTTGACATGGAAACAATCGGAAATATTGCAAACGTATCAATGGTTTCCGCATCTCTGAATGAACAACAAGGAGCAAACACTGATGTAAGTGTGTCCAGCGACGAAATCCCTCGACCAGTTCATACACTAGAAGAAAAGGCAGAATCATCGGTGCAAAAATGTCCACCAAAATGTAATGCCACGACGCAAACTGATGAAGTGGCTTTGCAGAATGCCCATTTTGACACACCTGGTGACTCCAGCAGTTCCAATATTACACAAAATCTTACTGAAAATGTGAAAATCCCCAGTTTGATGAATAGAAACGTAAATCAGTTAGGAGTGTCTTATAAAGTTCGATGCTCAGGAGATAAAGAACGTTGTTGTGTTAATGCTCTAGAAATTTTGCCTGACAATCGATTAATTTTGACTGATTACAACAACAAGAAACTAAAAATCTTTAAAGAAACTTTTTCTCTAGTATTTACAAAAGGACTTCGTGATAACCCTATAGACTTGTGTCATGTAAATGACAAGACAATCGCAGTTTCTTTTTCTAAATCAATTGAAACGTATGATATTGGAACAAATAATGCTCACAGAGTAGGCCAATTTCCGACAAAAGTTAGGGTATTTGGTGTTGATAAAGTTGGAAATGTCCAGGACATTGCTGTTCTTTTTGAAGACAATGAAAACCCATTCCTACAAATTAGAAATGCGATAACTGGTTGTATATTTAAGACAGTTAGTTTTGAAAGCTCACGTGGCGTCCCTTGTCAGTTTGGAGAGGATGGAACTCTACGTATGCTTTACAGAGGTACTGTTGCAATTTTTATTTCAGAATTTGAAAAACTTCACTGTTACAAAAGTGCCAGCACTACTGGTTATGCCGGTAAAAATGAAAACGTTGTTCAAGAATCTTGGTTCTACAAAAGCCGTGCTGGGAGCTATTTGAAATTTATATCAAATTTGACAGCAGACGACGAAGGTAATATTTATGTGTGCGGGCGTGAATCTTACAATGTACATCAGATTTCAAAAGATGATTACAGAACAAACAGAATTTTAATCAGCAACATCAAATTACCCTTGTCGGTTGGTGTGAATAGCAAAAAAGGTTATGTGGTTGTTGGTTGTGATAATGATGATTATATACATGTATATAACTTTTGCTAGATAGGTAAATACTACTTTGAAATGTGAAATATATTTTTAAAGCTACATGCCTCCAGATGAGTCAAAATATTTCAATAAAATCAAACTTGAGAAAAATGTACTAAGACGTAAGGAAAATTAAAAAGTTTTAAGATTTAAATAATATTTTACATATGTGCGATTAATGACTGATTTTTCAAAATTTATTTCAGTAAAGGCTATTTATGCATATTTTGACCACTTTTTGGTATTTTTGAGATTTGTAAGTGCCACTGATAATCTATATATATATTGCTTCTTTTTGGTTGCTTCACAATATTACACATTCAAATACATTTTCAAAAATTTCACGAAAATTAGCATGAATCTGGAGGCGTGTTGCTTTAAATACATTTGTCAAACAATAACCAATAACTCCAGCAAAAACTAGACTGTTTATGAATTCAGGACTATATACAGTATTAGTGAATTTGTTTGCAGTGTTTGAGAACAATGCATAATTTACAATATACCGGTACATGTATTAAGTTGATTTGCGTTCGCTTTCTTTATCGTTTGTAATATAAACAATCAGTACACTGGGTTTGCAAATTGTGAAAACACTTTGTTCCGAATATTTAATGTACAAAATGTATTACAATAATAAAAATTCTTTTTGTAATATAGAATTTATATTTATCTATTGAAACGGCAGGGCAACTTTTCGCGAATCGGAACCATTCATTGGCCTTAAGTTGATCATTATGTGAATGAATATTCCTTCTTCTGTATTTACTGGAATTAATCATAGCAAAGGCTTTTGGTCAAAATCATAAAGCTTTACTATACAGCACACGGTGGTTTGATCTTTTTTGGAAAAGAATATGTGGTCAAGAAATAAAATTACATCGTAATTGTGTAGAATCATTTATATGAAACAAAATGGTCAATATGTGTTTATGCCCACAGCAAACTGGCTTATCAATAATTTGGCACTTAAGCATCTTTCCCTTACCGTTCTGGCAATTAAGGTAGAACACCCCTAATGGGCACTATAAGGAACTGTAAAATTGACAACATATGACAGTTATATGCCTTAAATGTCACCTATATGCAAAATTTAAACAAAATTTACCGTGTGGTTTATGAGTCATTTTTCTCAACTAAAACTTTGCCATTAGAACGGTTTTTTTCAGAAATGAAGAAACTCTAAATAATCTATAATATCATCATTATGAAAAAATTTTCCTATTGCTCATTGTTAAGAAACCAATAATGACATTTAAATAACAAATTAAACAAGCAAAATGATTGTTTTTAAACAAAATGTTTTTAATATGTATAAAAATGTAACCCTACCCCACCCACTTCTAACACTTATTTGACCATTTCCCTATGTAAAAAGCCTTACTTAAAATACCCCTAAAATTTTGCACAACGAGGGGCTGTTTTCAAAGTTTGCCTAACTTTTGTTAAATGTATATTGGTTGATCTTGCAAAATATAAAATACTGTTACCGTGTAATTTTTAGCTCGACTATTCGTAGAATAATCGAGCTAATGCAGTCACCCATTTGTCGGCGTCGGCGTCCCTGTGGTTAAGTTTTTGTATGTAAGCTGGTATCTCCATAACTACTGAAGGGAATGGATTGAAACTTCATACATTCGTTCTCTGTGATTATCTAAGATGATTGGCACAAGTCCCATAACTCTGATTTGCTTTTTTACATAATTATGCCCCTTTTTCGACTTAGAAATTCTTGGTTAAGTTTTTGTATGTAAGCTGGTGTCTCCATAACTACTGAAGGGAATGGATTGAAACTTCAAACACTTGTTCTCTGTGATTATCTTAGATGATTGGCACAAGTCCCATAACTCTGATTTGCTTTTTTACATAATTATGCCCCTTTTTCGACTTAGAAATTCTTGGTTAAGTTTTTGTATGTAAGCTGGTATCTCCATAACTACTGAAGGGAATGGATTGAAACTTCACACACTTGTTCTCTGTGATTATCTTAGATGATTGGCACAAGTCCCATAACTCTGATTTGCTTTTTTACATAAAAATGCCCCTTTTTCGACTTAGAAATTCTTGGTTAAGTTTTTGTATGTAAGCTGGTATCTCCATAACTACTGAAGGGAATGGATTGAAACTTCACACACTTGTTCTCTGTGATTATCTAAGATGATTGGCACAAGTCCCATAACTCTTATTTGCTTTTTTACATAATTATGCCCCTTGTTCGACTTAGAAATTCTTGGTTAAGTTTTTGCGTGTAAGCTGGTATCTCCATAACTACTGAAGGGAATGGATTGAAACTTCACACACTTGGTCTCTGTGATTATTTAAGATGATTGGCACAAGTCCCATAACTCTGATTTACTTTTTCGCATAATTATTCCCCTTTTTCGATTCATAAATTCGTGGTTAAGTTTTTGTGTGTAAGCTGGTATCTCCATAACTACTGAAGGGAATGGATTGAAACTTCACACACTTGTTCTCTGTGATTGTATTGAAACTTGAAGGGTTTGTACCTTTTCGTACAATTTTATGTAGTCATATAGGTAAGCATTATTATACTCAATGAAACACCCTTGTGACAAATTTTCGAATAGTCGAGCGTTACTGTCCTCCGACAGTTCTTGTTATTTTATTAAACTTTGAAAATATCTGGTATCATATTTGCTATTAAATTTGGCATTATTTAGTTAATAAATACCTACAATAATTTTACAATTAAAATGAAACACTTTTTTCTTCCACAAGGGATCTGAGAGATTTATAAAAAATGTTAAAAAGAAAAAAAAAAGAAAAAAATGTTGCCCCTTCTGGGGTTTGAACCCCTCAGTTTCAATACACTTTTACAGTGATTCTAGTCTATTTGAATTCTCTTCATAGTGGCGATAGTGCATTAGGGGTGTACTACCTTAACTTTACAGTGAAAACATAACACATATTAAATGTTGATAAACTCTAAGAAATCTTAAAGTACTCTTAGAAACCTTACAGTTATAAATTTTGTTATGGATTTCAATGTCGCATCAACACAGTATAGGTCATATGACGACCTCCCAGCTTAACTGGTGGGGGAAGACCTCCGGTGCCCCTTAGTACATTATTTCAGGCAACACCTGAGTATAACCACGGTGCCGACGTTACGTAAGCTAACTGGAGTAGAATCCTATGATGCTGAATTCAGCATGTTATTCTTTTCTGAGTGTGATTTATTTTGTCAGTATTGTTATTTATCTAAGATTCCTGGGTCATTAAAATCATGTAATAAACATGAAATGGAAAAGGACCTGGAGAACGTTTTTACTAACAATTCGAAAATTTTACGGGGTTATCGTCACTTGACGCTTACGTTTTAAACTTGCGCAACTCTAAAGCATAAATACGTTAGTAAAACGGTATCGTGAAAAACAGACTTACGCAAACAAAATGAAATTCCAAGTGAAAAAAGGCGACATGTTTGAACTGTAAATAGCGTTGATTTCCGACACAACTGGCCACCACTGACAAGTTTCTAAAAATATTAGTAATAATTGCTATGAAAAGCTGTTTGAAATGAATTCTTGTTAATTTCTGGTAAATCATACGTTAATTCAATGAATATTTTACCTGTCAAACATTTCTTTCTTGAATGCAATAATCTTGCACATGTTCGTGATAGATTTTATCGAGTCAATTCACTTAGAGAACGTTTCGCCTTAGTTCCATCTAAATCCCCGATTGATTACCTAAAGAAAGTTAACTTGTGTTTATAAGAGTTAATTAATTCACTTGTATTTATTATACAACCTCTTTTAGACCTACTTATTATAGTGTTCGGCGCGGCATGACCAGTAATGTGTCGATGTTGCCGTTACAACCAAACAAACAAACAAAACACACGACTGGCTTAGTTAAAGTCTGTTTCCAGGGAGGTTATCGTAAAATGTGTAAAATTATGTTTAAGGAAGAGTTGTCTTTCTTCAAATATTTGACTGCCAAACAGGCAATGATCTCGCAATTTATTTTGTTCGTTGGTAGATTTTTTATTCAGTCAATTCATATGGAGAAACTTTTCGCCTAGTTCCATCTAAAATCCCCGATTGATTACCTAAAGAAAGTTATCTTGTGTTTATAAGAGTTAATTAACTCACTTGTACAACCTCTTTTTAGACCTACTTATTATAGTGTTCGGAGCGGCATGACACCAGTAATGTGTCGATGTTGCCGTTTAACCCAAAACAAAAGCAATAAAGCAAGAGTAGTGATGATCATAAAAACGACAAAAATGGTGATGGGACAAACGAAACTAAAGAAAGTGAACCTAAAAAAATCAAACGTCTCCCGAAAAAAGGTGAAGAGAGCAAAAAATGAAGAAACCAAAATAAGATAAAAAAAGGTCAAGATACTACTGAAAAAAAGTGAAGTTGGCAAAAATGTGGAGTCTAAAAAGGATGCAAAGTCTAAAAGAGCCTCAGGAAAAAGATGAAGTTGTCAAAAAATGAAGAGAAAAAAGAAGGCGAGAAGGATCCAGAGTCCATGGCAAGTGCAACAGTTGAGGTTTCAAGAATAATCCCAGCGAAGGCACAAAAATTCAGGTGTCCCAGTGAAACAAGATAAGTTTAGCAAGAATGACCCAGAAGTGAATGTAAAAGAGCAGGAAGCCAGTGTTACAAATGAGGTAGACAAAAAAAACGATAATGCAAAAGGGTGACGGAGATAAAATGTCGGAACCCATCTAGTGCAGTTAGCGAGAAAAAAGATGCAAAAGATGGCGAATAATGTCAATAATTGGTATGACAGTAAGTGGGGGAACATCAGACATTGTGTCGCAATTACTGATCGTGTATTACATTCGTTTATTGTCCGAAATGATTAACCTGCCCATTTTGCAAACATTATCTGGTAGTTAATATTTCGGAAAATACATAAATAGCTGATAGTAGACAAATGTATTCATATATTTACATAAGTGATATAGATTTTTGAATAAAGCGATGAAACATTTACGTCTTACTCTAACTTTCAATAAAGCGAGGTTATTTTATTTACAGGAGGATATATCACAATGAGAAATGCATATGTATAAAGCATATCAAGATCTAAACTGTTGTCATATGTCCAAGACATTTCATGATAAAGTGTCAAATAAACTAAACTTAACAGGTTCGATCGCATATTCGTCTGAGGAATACTGGCCGTCTTAAACCCCTTTTATCTTTTTTAAATGTAATAGGAACCGTAGAATCCGTGGGCATGCACGGAGGAAACACGAAAGAAATCCTCCTCAGACTATTCCTCGGAATATTAAACAACGGACTGTGCTCAGGCATGCTTACATATATATCAAATATATACATATCAATATATTTTCCTTAATCAAAATACAAGTTCTGTTCCCCATATACAAACTTGAAATAAACCTACACATTCAATAATTTTTTTCAATAACTTTGTAAATTTTTCTTTATATAAAAGTTTTGCTTAATTATGTCTTTAACATAATCTTATAACATAATAAATATTGAATTTGAATGCTGGTGATCTCGTAAGAGAAATATCGCATACTCTGCCGCGGGTATACTCGTATATACCCGTGTATGAAATACACATGTATGCTTGATGGATGTTTGGGAAGCTGTATTTTATATATCTGTCAAGTATATCTGGTTAAATTAAAGTGGACCTGTCTTTAAAAATAAAATGCCGTTTTTTACTGACACTATGTATTCATACCGAGTTTTCCTACAGTATGATTAGTTCAAAACGTAACATATCGTCTGTTTACACAAAATATATTTATTGAACATTTAAAAAGACCTTTGTATCAACTATCAGTGTTTTTCAAATATCAAATTTGAGCCATGTGTATTCAACCGATATCTAGTTTTTTTTTTCAAAAAAAAACACGTGAATTTACAATTGTTCACTTTGTGTGTAATTTTGTTAAAAGACTTTTGTTATCCTTATACTAATCCTTTTAAACATGTATACGCACAATAATAGTAGATAAATGTTACAGAATGACCAATGAGATTGCCAGATTTGAGTTTGTAATTTTTAAATGACCAATGAAAATTTTTCTTATATTAAGTTCTTCCCTGTAAATTTTACAGGAAGTCAATCTGATTTTAGACGGCTTTTAGCCAAATTAGTTTTTGAACGCTACTAGACAAGTGTGTTACTACCGCTAATTGTACGTTATAAGTCGAACACGATAACGTTTACATTAATCGCCTTTTGACTGATGTTTTAAACTTATACAACTTTAATTCCATCTTTATGACATGACGTTGCAAAAGGACATGACATGAACATATACATACTTGTTCCGGGTCGCGTCATATTTTCTGCATATTGGTATATACCGGAAAACGGTATTAAGTGGGGTGCCAAACACATTTTTTAGTCTCGCTCTTTCTAAAATGACCTGACAGTAAAAAATAGGGAAAATAGGAATCCCTAAAGAAAGTCCAAAACGGCAAAATTGAAACTGTTGCAGGCTCGGTTTTGACTGAGCCTGATTATTGACGGTACTGCCAAGTGCAAACTACCCTTCACGCCCTGTAGCACCCGGCTTAAGCAGAATTCAAGATTTAAACATGAAAATGGTGAAATTTAGGAACACCCGCAGATGTGATCATACTGAGGTTACCATGGAACCTTTAATGTGACACGCTAGTGCCCATTCCGTGAAAAGCGGTGTATTGTCCCCACATAAAAGAAAAGTGAGTGACATAAACGAGAAAACAATGGGCGAAACAAACATTAATAACTCTTTCCTTGAAAAATAAAGAATTATGAATTTTTTGACAAACTTTAATATTCTCTTACTTTACAGTAACAGTAGGCCTACTTACACATTCTTTAATAAGGTTCACAAAACACTGATTTCTATTCATTTATTCATTTCAACAAAGCTCCAGACGGTAGATATGACGTAGGTGTAACGCATGAGGGATGTACTTTTATTATTTCATGACGTTTCATGCTTTGAACTTAACTTTGTAAATCTTTAAATTTAAAACATAAAACAAAAGCTAAATAAATTACTGTCTTTTACTCAACTACATGTATATTTACTTTGTGATAATGATTACACTGAATATGTACCGAGCCGTGTAAGGACCATTGTCATAAAATAAGTTGAATATGAAAACCAAGAACACGATGCTACGATCAGAAAGGGGTGATGAAAATGATATAATTATTACAGGTGATTCAATTGAGTACCAAAATATCAATTCAGGGGAGGCTCCACAATATGCTGTTAAGTGTATACCATAGGTTCAAAACTTACGTCTATAGTTCAATGATGTATTGTGTTTTTGTTTATTGTGATATATCTAAGGGTGTGATTGTATTTATACAATGAAATATTATGAAATATTATCAAACTAAAAATCATTAAGTGTATATTCCATTTTGAATGTTTCACAGTGAAATTATCACTTATAGCTATCGGCATCTAAAATGAACATTTAATCAGGTTTTCATACGAATGTCATCATCACACAATATTTCTATTGGTCAGCGTTTTTGTTACCGTCGTATCCATACTTCTAATTAATTTTTTATTTGTTTGGGTCGTCAGACCAAACAAATAATGGTGGCGAAATTTCAGACTCTAATGCTGTTAATTGCAAATGCCGAAAGTAGTCCGCTTTTTTGAAGCGGTTACTTCCCTTTATATGTAACACTAAGGCCGAAAAATTCAGGGGAGATCACTGCGTAAATATGGTCACATGACAGGCGCATTAATTTTCAAGCAAAATAATTCCGAATGGTCGAAGATTTCTAATATTGTTTTATGCTTTATAGATATACATGCTTATAGTAAGCGCCATGATTATTTACACATGTGTTAAACAACAGTTGGCGTCATTTCAAACCCTAATTTAGAATAATATGGTTTTCTTCAGGCTGTTAACATATAAATTCACCGTGGCCGAGGGGTTTGCGCGCTCGCTTAGGAAGCGAGAGGTCTGGAGTTAAGGCGACTCATTATTTTTTCAAATTGTTTAAGTCAAATAAACATTGGATTGAATATCAGTGTTGCAATTAGTCTTATAGCCAATCTTCTACAATTAAAACGCTGGAAAGCTTTGGTGGCACTATACAAAAACAAATTGTTTTATAATCTCACAACCTTCACCTTTCTGAAACAAATTCAGCGCCTTCTGTGCTTTGATTTATTAATGTGGTAAACAAAAATATGCATGATAATAAACATATTCTCAGAGCTTAATCTTGTACATACTTTTGACATAGTCATATGTTTTAAGTGAAATAGTTTTTGGATATTAATTTTTTGTAGCGCATGAATACAATGATTAGCACGAATATGGCTGATAAGACTGATAACCCGTTTGAAGAGTTGGGAGCAGTTGGGGGGCTTCATGACAGTAAAAAAAAGACTTCGGTAATAAATACGAATTTTAATTGTGAACCTTGTCTCTTTGAAAACATTGAAAAAGAAGCAAGTACATTTTGTACGGATTGTTCCGAGCATTTATGTGCTAGTTGTGCTCGTGAACATAGAAAGAATAAACTATCAAGGAATCATAAGTTGTTCGAAGGTGAGGATATTTCAGATAAATTTACAACAATTGCGGCAATGAACAGAATGATGAATTGCCCTGACCATCTCGACACTGCTGTGACGTATAAATGTGAAGATCACGAACAATATGTTTGCGTCACGTGTTTAGCAGAGTGTCACCGTAAATGTAAAACGGTTAACGAAATCGCAAAAGCTACTACCCCTGTAAATGAGGACATACATGCCCGTGTAGAAGAAATATTATCTCAACTACAAGACACTGCAACGGCTTCAAAAAGAGAATCAGAAGAAAATATAACCACTTATAAAGATCATCTGTCTAAAGTGAAATTACAACAACAAAGTCTTTTCAACAGTATTTATGAAAAATTGTCACAAGCAAAGGCCAATCTTGAGTCCAAAACACTTAATCTTGTTACTAAAGAAGTAAATTATCATGAAAGGAATTTAACGAAATGTAAAGAAGCAGATGTCGAAGGAGAAGAATATAGGAAGGTATTTGAATTTGTTATGAAATTTGGGAACTCTGCTGAGAGGAGTGTTATGCCTCATCTTATATTGACCAGAGCAAAAGAGTTACATGAAACAATCAAAACAGAAAATATTACAGAAAAGAAGTCACTTATTTTTGAAACAACACTTGACATGGAAATAATCGGAAATATTGCAAACATATCAATGGTGCCCGCGTCTCTGAATGAACAACAAGGAGCAAACACTGATGTAAGTGTGTCCAGCGACGAAATCCCTAGACCAGTTCATACATTAGAAGAAAAGGCAGACTCATCGGTACAAATTCGTCCATCGAAATGTAATGCTACCACGCAAACCGATGAAGTGGCTTTGCAGACTGGCCATTTTGACACATCTGGTGGCTCCAGCAGTTCCAATATTACACAAAATCTTACAGAACATGTAAAAATCCCCAGTTTGATGAATAGAAACATAAATCAGCAGGGAGTTTCTTATAAAGTTCGATGCTCAGGAGATAAAGCACGTTGTAAAATTTATGCTATAAAAATTCTGCCTGACGAACGTTTAGTTATGATTGATAATGCCAACAAGAAACTAAAAATCTTTAAAGAAAGTTTTTCTCTAGTATTTACAAAAGGTCTCTGTGATCATCCTTTTGACGTGTGTCATGTAAGTGACAAAACAGTTGCAGTTTCTTTTGAAAAATCAATTCAAACGTTTGGTATTGGAACATGTAATGCTCATAATTTAAGACAATTCCCAAAAAAATATATAATACTTGCTATTGCAAAAGTAGGAAATGTCGATGAAATTGCTATTCTTTTCGAAGAGTTTGAAAACGCCGCTAACAAAAGGCTTTTCTGTCAAATTAGGGGTGCTAGAACTGGCCGAATATTTAAAACAGTCACTTTTGAAAATCAGGTTGGCGTTCCCTTTGAATTTCAGGAGGATGGAAATAGACGTATTTTTTGTAGAGACATGGATGAAATTTTAGTTTCAGAATTTACTAAGCTTCACCGTTTCACCAATACTGGTTATTCCGATCATTCAAGCAACATTTTCAAAGAGTCTTGGTTCTATAAAAGCAGTGATGGAAGCTATTTGAAAGGTATAACGGATTTGGCAGCAGACGACGATGGTAATATTTATGTGTGTGGGTGTTTCTCCGACAATGTATATCAGATTTCAAAAGATAATTACCGTAGAAACAGGATAATTATCAGCAACATCAAAAAGCCATTATCAGTTGCTGTGAATAGCAAAATAGGTTATGTGGTTATTGGTTGTGGTGATGATGACTATATACATATATATAACTTTTGTTAGATAGTTAAATACTACTTAGAATCATATTTTACAAATACAACAATAATCATTAACTTTAGCAAACACTAGACTGTTTATGAATCTGGTTCATGTATTTTAGTTGATATGCGTTCTCCTTTTTCTTTTTCCTCTGTGTGTGTGTGTGTGTGTGTGCGTGCCAAATGTTTTATTTTTTGTTATATAAACAATCAGTACACTGGGCTTGCGAATTGTGAACACACTTTATTCTGAATATTAAATGTACAAAATGTATTTCAATAAAATATTTATTCTATTGAAATATATAATGTATATTTATCTATTGAAACGACAGTTTTCAGCAAACTGTCAAAACGGCAATGCAGCTTTTCGCGGATCGGAACCATTTATTGGTCTAAAGCTTTAGTTGGCCATTGTATGAAACATTCTTTTTGTATGAAACATAGCAAAGGTTTTTGGTCAAAATCATAAAGCTTCACTATCCAGCACACGATGCATGAAAAAATTGTGGTCAAAAAATAAAAGTACACCATAATTATGTTGAATCATTCACTTGAAACTAGGTCGTCAATATGTATTTATGCTCACGGCAAACTGGTTTATCAATGATTTGGCACTTTACTGTTCCAACGACTTTAAGCTGGCTATTAGCATTAAAATGAATGAAAATTGAATTCTTAAACATAACACTTATATAACATGATAATAAACTCTTAGAAATCTTACAGTTAATAATTAATGTGTATAAAAGTCTTGATTTATTTCCTGCATCTCTTTTGTGGGGGAGGGTTAATGTTGCATAAAAGACAGTATAGGTCATATGACGACCTCCCAGCTTTACTGGTGGAGGAAGACCTCAGGTGCCCCTTAGTACATTATTTCAGGCAACACCTGAGTAGAACCACGGTGCCGACGTTGCGTAAGCTAACTGGAGTAGAATCCTATGATGCTGAATTCAGCATGCTATTATTTTCTGAGGGTGATTTATTTCGTCAGTTATTGTTATTTATCTTAGATTCCTGGTCATTAAAATCATGTAATAACATGAAATGGTAAAGTACCTGGAGAACGTTTTTACTAACAATTCGAAAATTTTACGTAAGGGTTATCGTCATTTGACGCTTACGTTTAAACTTGCGCAAATCTTAAGCGTAAATATGTTAGTAAAATGTCCTAACAGTCAACAGTCTTATGCAACATGAAAAGGCGGCATGTTTGAACTGTTGATATCGTTGATTTCCGACACCACTGGCCACCACTGACAAGTTTCTAAAATATCAATAGTTGTTGTGAAAAGTTGTTTGAAATAAATTCTTGTTAATTTCTGTTAAAATCGTTAATGCAATAAACATTTTACTGTCAAACATTTCCTTCTGGAATACAATAATATTGCATATGTTCGTGGTAGATTTTATCCAGTCAATTTACCTAGAACACTTTTAACCTCAGTTCCATCCAAAGGCCTAATTGACTACTCAAAGAAAGTAAACTTAGTTCCATCTAAATCCCCGATTGATTACCTAAAGAAAGTTATCTTCTGTTTATAAGAGTTAATTACCTCACTTGTACAAACTATTTTGGCCTACTTATTATAGTTTTAGGCGCAGCATGACCAGTAATGTGTCGATGTTGCCGTTTAACCCAAACAAACAAATAAAAACAACGAATGGCTTGTTTACAAGGGAGGTAATCAAAAAATGTGTAAAACATGTTTGAAGGAAGAGTTGTCTTTCTTCAAATACACTAAGAATCAAATTTAATGAAATTTCACCCAGAGCCACAAATAATATTAATAAACAATAAAAGAAATGTGAAACATACAAATCTAAAATGCTTAAATGTTGTCATTTTAATTTTATAAAGTAGCATATCACACTTGATTTAAAGAGTGTCTTTTTCCATACTGAATAGTTTCCAATTATCAAAGAACTAAATAGATTCAAAAGAAAACGACTGATTTTGTTTATCAAACATGCTTTTATACCGCTTAAAACAGATCAGTTGAATATCATTCGTGTGGAAATGCTTGCCATTTTAAAACACGTGCACATACCATTCATACATCCCCTCCCCCTTCCCTCCCAAAAAAATGCCCCCCACCCAAAAAAAAGAAACAACAAAAAAAACAACAACAACAAAAAACTTTGTAAGTATGTTATGTTCACATGCTTCACGTGCTGTTATGACTTATTTTTCACCTACAAAAACACGTGATAATATGAGAACGTCACACAGAAAAAATGAATATTTGCGACATTTCAAGCAGTAACCCGTGTAAGAATGGCACAACCCGTTTGTTTATTTTCTTTCGAATAAATCAGTATGGAATAATGGATGGGCCTTGACCTTGTTATGAAAACTTGGCCTGATAAATGTTATATAATACATCCTGTGTTTATTGGGTGAAAATATTGCTATCGGTCCAATATCGGACACAAAGTAAACAAAATGCTCGCTTAGTGAACTTTAATCTTGATTCTACAAACAGAACGTGTCGGACTTTGTAGAATTTCAATAAATAGAATAAATAGAGAAACACTGACAGATTGAAAACCCACAGAGTTATCATTGAAAGAAATGATTAACTTCGTTAATGAAAACCGACTGGGTTATAACTGTCAGAAATGATTAACTTCGTGATTACTGAAAACCGACAGAGTTATCATTGTAAAACTGATTAACCACATTATTGAAACCGAAAGGGTTATCATGTTAGAAATGATTAATTTCGTTATTGGAAACCTACCGGGTTATCATTTTAAGAAATGATTAACTTCGTTATTGAAAACCGACAGAGTTATCATTTTAAGAAACTATTAAATTCCCTTTTTATATGTAAATCTGAATATTACAATAATAAAAACCAACCTACAATAACAAAAGTGCGATAACATGATTATGCTTATGATAATGCGATAACATGATTATGATAAATGCGATAACATGATTATGACAATGCGATAAACATGACATCTAAGACTCGACAATATGCCAGTACGATGGGTACAATGTACAATACGGTGATAATTTCGTCAACCTATTTTCACCTGATATATAATGACATGGAATGATCAGTATTGTACAAAGCCCATTATCACCATCGTTCTGTAAGATCCCCATTGTTATCATTTCTCGCGTTATCTTTTTGACATCATAGTATCACGTTATTATAGTATCACCTTATATAGAAGTATCACGTTATCATAGTATCACGTTATTATAGTATTACGTTATCACAGTAATACGTCACCATAGTATCATGTTATCATAGAATCACGTAATCATAGTATCACGTTATCACAGTATCACGTTATCGTAGTATCACGTTATCACAGTATCACGTTATCATAGTATCACGTTAACTTAGTATCACGTTATCGTAGTAAACGTCAGTATCTATGTATCAAATCGAAATATCACGTTATCGTATCAATAAATCACGTTATCAAAGTATCACGTTATCGTAGTATCACGTTATTTTAGTATCACGTTATCCAAGTATCACGTTAACAAAGTATCACGTTATCGTAGTATCACGTTAACAAACTAGTATCACGTTATCGTAGTATCACGTTATCAACAGTATCACGTTATCGTAGTATCACGTTAACAAAGTATCACGTAATCGAAATATCACGTTATCATAGTATTACGTATCGTCATTGTGATTCGGCGTTTTCATCATCGTACTAAGTATCGTTATTTTAACGGACATCTTTTGGAAAGTCCATTCTTGTCCTCAGAATACTTTCACTAAACGTCACATGCCTGATAACTGACATGTTAGGAGTCTTCTCTATATTTTCCTTCTCCTATAAAACCCCATTGTGGGCCTCTACATACTTAATGAATAATTTGAAGTATACGTGTTCCTATTTATATTGTTTATATTATCATTCTGCACCAGGAATGCTTGTCATACTCTAATGCACCTTGCTTGATCTTCTAATACAGTAAAACATTCCTTTAAAATACAGATAATGACATTTAACGATCACGCGCTTCGAATATCTAAAAAAACAAAAAAAAAAAAACATGTTTCTCTTACAGTTCTGTTGGGCAATACATTATTAATATAATATATTTTAGACAATCATTATAATCAATAATGTTTGTAGGTTTTTGTGTAATGACCGAATAAAGTTATGATCACCATCCCCACAACTCACCATCCTTTATAGTTATTGTTAAAAATGCTGTAATATATCTACATGTATATAGTATTACAATTTTGTGCACAATTTATTACAAAATGAATGTTTTGTAATTCTTTTTTTTTTTATGCCGTTCGTAAGTTACATTATTGGTCATATATCGGCGATCGATCCACTCACCGGCTCTTGGAATTCCTCCGCAAGCGACGACTACTTATATAACCCATCACCGACCCCCTTCCCCCCTGATTTCTGAATGTAAAAAGGCCATGATAATTGAGTGTCCTAGGTCAATTTTCACTAAGAAATTGCACCTTTCTGGAAATCGCACCTGCAATCCCTAGATTACGTATTTGGTGATCTTTCTATTAAAGACCCATTATACCACAGAAAAGCTTAAATTGGTTTAATTGACCTGTTATAGTTTCTGAAAGGTTTCTCATTGTCCAATCACCTGAATTATATTTGCGGCTGTTGCTGTCTAAGAATAAGTTCAGTTATAGTGATGTAATATTTTGTATGGACGTCAAAATATTATATTTTTGATACTTTAACGACAAAAAAATGTTACAATCAGCGCTACTCAGGCAATAAGCATCTAACATGCCCTATCACTTTATACTCATGATTTTGCCGGGTTTTTTAATAAGGAAATAATCATTCCTTTCTGGGGCATAATGTTTCTTTAAGCCTAGTGGACAGACAATAAAAATAAATAACCGGGAAGGCAATGGTGCTTTCTAACGTTGTAAGTTTAAAATGTTATAAAATTTAATATTAGGCCTAAACAAACGAACAAACAAAACAAATTAAATATTCCCATTTACGCTCCAAATTTTTTTATTTTCCGCGAGTGACATATGGCAACCTAAAAGTAAATAAGATTATTTTTCGTATTTTGCGTAAACCCCCAATCGCATCATCTCGGCCCTTCCGTCAAACTTTGGATGAGAACGTTTTTCTTGATAATAGCCGAGGTGTTCCGATTGTTGCGACAATGAGTCAATCAACGGGTATTAAATTTTCGTTATTTATAATGCTGGAGATAATGATTCATTCTGACTGTTTGCCGGTGCACAAGTATCATGATTCATTTCATGAAAGTTCCATGAGTTTATTGCCACCAATTTCAGGTTTATATCACAGGTGAACGTCGCGAGGTCATGACTTACACTATACCCCCGATTGTTAAGATTGAAAAATTGATGAATATATATGCGCTGATAATCGAGATGCTTGTGATATTTCTATGCAAAATGAAAGTAGATTAAAATACCTTTATAATTTTTAAGAGTTATAATTTTTTTTTTCATAAAATTTATTTTTGTCAATACTTATGATGTTTGGATGATGTTTAAGGGTTTTTGAGTTGTAGAGGGGGAACGGGGGTATAGAGTAAGTCATGGCCACGTGACGTTCACCTGCGGTTTATATATATTAACTCAAAAGTTTATTTAATTAATTTTGACATGACAAACAATATATCAGTGCTGCAGTTTACTTAATCAATATACAACTGTCTCCGCCCTAGCGTAATATTTATAAGCCGGAAATCAATTTTTGCCGGGTTTATAATATAGAGTAGATACCACTTGATAACTAGAAAAGCAGTCATAATAAAAACCACATTGGGTGAGGGGAATTTTTATTTCTTCGATAAACCTTGAAATTGATACAGTACATTTGTAAGGGATATGCCATAATGTTATTACTTAATGTGAATAAATATATTTATTTATTTATTTATTTTCAAAAAATAAGATAAAAAAATTGTAAAAATTATTGAAACTTAGCATCCAATCCTCCAATTTTTGTAAAAGTATATGATTTGTACAAAAACAGCACAATTTCAGTCACTTTTAACTATAATCTATAAGATTTTAAGTGCTTATCCGGGTTTGAATACATTTTCTTACTAAATACCTCTTACGTTTTTAACAGAACAGAACATGTATTTTTAGATTTAAACAGAACAGTTTATCATCATCAACCCATCAAGTATATACATACAATAATTACAAATAAATAAGTAGCATACATAGTATATAGATGATAACGAATTTAAAATGTTAATTGAGAGAGAGTAACATAATAATTGTAAAATTGCATTTAAATTTGAATATTCGTGTGAGAATCCCTAGATCACCCTAAGGCGCTACATATGTGATATTTCTTTTGTTCATGAACAACGTTCATGTAACAGCGTTAAACTCCGTACAATAGACAGACATCTTTACGTAAATAACATGATAAAATGTCTTCTATCAAAAATAAGAGAGAAGTACCTGTCGTCGTGATGTGTCTTTAAAACACTGAATCATTCACACTGCAGAAAGTAGCACTTCGTTATCGATCGACGCGCTTAAATACACCCCTGCGAAATATTGGAGTCAGCCTGCGCGAATGTTAGATTTCGGATTTCATTAGAGACAACACTGCCAGAAACACGTGTAGTTAGCAGAAGAAAGGATTTAACAAAACTGTGGTAGAAAACAAACACAGAACAGGTCAGTGTTTTATAATGTTTTCTTTTCCTTTGTTCATTTTCTTCATTTTATTCACCGTTTACAATTTATATCTCGTATAACCCTTAAGGAAAAATAAAAAAGGATGAAATGTATTATAATTTAATCGATGCGGCTCTTTTTTTTAAGAAAGTAAACCCCGATTTCGTCTGTACGTAAGAGGACAAAGGCCAACAAAGGGATTTTGAATTTTAAGTGTGTATAAACGGGATTTTGTTGCGTGTACGTCGTAGTGAAGTATTAAGTTGTTACTGTGAGCAGTCATAGTTTAAATTAACGGAGCAGATGTATGTTAATGAATGATAAAAAGCAACACATTTTAAGGTCAAACAAACCATACAGCTTGTTTCTGAACCAATATTTCATTTTCTACGGATTCAATATGGCAGAATATTTACATAACAAATTACATGAAAACAAGGGGGGAAAGAAATAGGAAAATAAAGCCTTTGTTTAGAAAAAATGATTTATGCGCATCGGCTGCTTTAACATCCGGGTATTTTTTCTCCTCGTTTGGAGTAGGAGTTAAGTTCTGTATAATTGGACATTAATTTCTAATTTTTCATAAATTATGCATGAATCGGGAGGCGTGCTGCTTTTTAACATTTACTACGCTTGATATCTTAATATTATCTAGACTGAACCTCTCAATATATTTAGGGATTTTTTTTAAAAAATTATGAGGATCGAACAGCGACCAGTCGTCTTGACGGCGAATATGACATTGGTTTGACCAGGTCGCACGAGAAGATCTAGTTGCCGACAACAGGGTAAATGTTAAGCGCAAATAATAATAACAATAATAATAATAAAGACTTTATTTAACGAGAGAACTCATTTGAACAACATATTAATCTTCCATGAGCCTAGTCAAAATATATTGACGTGCCGTGATATTTTTGTTCTGGGGCAGAATCTCGCTTTTTTGTAGAGCGAGACACGAAAATAGCACAATATCTCGTTGCGCAGTACAATTTGTTGGACTATCATGGGCCACGAGGTCCTCAACATGGAAGAAAATGCGCATAGTATATCTATATCTTTTAAAATGCCATCAGACGGATTGTGAAAATAATTTATTCGCTCTTAGACATATTGATTTTTGTGACCTTGACATTGATATCGCAAGAGACATTAAGAAAACAAAGAAGCCATTGATTACGTTCATGCAACTTCATAGTGATATCTATGGGCGAAATTTCGTGTACCTCTGAAAGCCAACTGTACATACATGTATCAAATTACTAGTTAATTATTATATTAGGAGATCTAGACATCACTGAAAGATTCGACAAAGGTGCTTAGGTATTATATAATGTTTGACAAATTATCTATAGATAATGAATGATAAGATGACACTTTGTTTATATACCGATCAAACTTGTGTCGATTGAAAATCGATTGAAAAAACAGACAATTTTAAGGGCATTTATTGGTAAAATTATAGATTATTCGTAATCTTTATATCAGACGTGCATGTCACTTAATATCACTTTCTTTAATTTATGTAGAGTTTGGTGGCTCAGGGGCCATGTTTGCTTGCAGTCGTTTATAATGGACTTAATAACGGTTATTAACCTGTCGAAAATTATTCTTACAATTGATGTTATACTCTTCTGGTCAATTCTGATTAATATGAAGCTAAAAACACCAACACACCGCCCAGATGTATCTGTTCATCGGAACAGAATGTGTAATCTATCCGGATCTAAGGCAATCCGAAATTACATCTTTATTCTCTCACACCAATAACACAATATGATATAATCCTAATCCTTTATTGGTCAGAGGTATTAAATGTTTTTAAGTTTTTAGAAAACAATCAGCAAATGTGAGTAGGGCAATATATGTGTTGAGTGATCCACCGGAAGTACTTGAAAGACAAATTGTTCAGACACCAAAACTTACATATTTACAAATGATTTTCTCTATAGTCACTGTATTATGATTGTGTAATGTTGTGAAATAATCAATTAAATTATTCATGGCTTTTTTGTTATTGTTTTTCTTTTCTTTCATTTGTTGCTGCCACGAACTTTAGTAAGCAGTGTAACAATACTATACTAAGAAATGACGCCAGTTATGTCACTTAAATGCTATGGTCAAAAAGCTGAAAATATATTTCAAATATATTACACGCTTTTCGCAAAGTTATTCTAATTGCCTTACACTACATAAATATACGAGACTTATAGGGTTTGATATTTTATTACGTTATCTTTATACGTTATCTCAACGTTTATTAACGCCATGTACTCGCTATCGGAGTTAAACGTATACAAAACCGTCACACGTGTTATTTAACAAAGGGTCTGTTCTCAATGCAAAGGAGCAAAGTGACAAAGTGCAATCACTGGCTCATGGCTTCAAACAATATGATAATTGAAATCCTGTTGAATGGTAACAGATAGCTTAGATAAGATACGCTTGTTACTATGTTTGTAAGTTGTTGGTAGTCAGTGGATATCGGGTTATAATTATCAGTATTTTTGTGATAATATGCTGTCAATACATAGCCACAGAGCTATATTTAAATACTAGACTAGTATAAGATATGTAATATAAGCTTTACTTTTGCAAAAGGAGTGTGTTAATAAACAGAATGCATTCACATGTTCAAACATGCCTTACTTTAAGATATATTGTTGGGTTTTTTCTACTAAAGATCATTTCAAGTGCATTGTAACTGAAAAGTAAATATATAAAAAGTTCATTTGCTTGACCCTTTTAAAGTCGTACCAGAGAAAAATAAAGTAAGCTACGCTATAAATGTGGGAAAAACATGAAAACATGGACATAGCTCTGTGGCTCGTTTCAGAGAAAGAAAGTAACTATATAAATATGGAAAAAAACATCGATGCAAAACACGAAAGAAGGAAAATATAGATATTGAAAAAAGAAAACATAAATATACACATGGAAATGAACCGCCTACTTGAATAAGCAACTAGCATTAAATGTAGAAAAAATATAACCTTAACGATATACATATGGAAAAAAAACCTATACGGTATAAATATGGAAAAAAGGTTAGAAATACATTCTATCGCAAAACAAAAACCAATATAAATGGAAAATATGATGGAAACCTTGGTACATGTATAAAAAAAATGAAAAACCTTTGTGTACATATGGAAAAAAATATATATATAAAAAAGTAAGGAAAAAACCCGCTTAAATATAGATAGACACAGTAAACACTCTGAAAATTTGGAAATTATTTCAACATAAAAACAGTATCTCTTCACTACACAATCCCTTATCAATAAAATAAATGTATCTTTATGAGTATATTGTTACATTGATACACATGTAGTTTCATTTAAATTTACTTTTGCGTGACATAGTTTTCGTAACTATTGACTTGTACATGTTTTTTATACGCAACTGATATTGAATGGCGGATTTTTTTTTATTTTTTTATATTTCATTTTAAGGATACGTTTCAAATTACTTTTTGCCTAGTCCGTACAGAAGATGTTATTACATTACAAAGAATGTTTTGTAAAAGGTTTTTGAGAATATATGGGAGGAGAAAAGAGATTCAAGTGCATTCGGTTATTACCAGAATTCATCTCTGATTTTATGCGGATTGAAAATGGTTCTACTATTTGAGCCGCGCCATGACAAAACAAACATAATGGGTTTGCGACCAGCATGGATCCAGACCAGCCTGCGCATCCGCGCAGTCTGATCAGAATCTATGCTGTTCGCTTTTAAACCTTTTAACAAGTAGAGAAACTGATAGCGAACAGCATGGATCCTGATCAGACTGCGCGGATGCTGGTCGCAAAGGCACTATGTTGGTTTTGTCTTGACGCGGCTCATTTATGTTAAGATAGACAGAGGTAATAAGTAACGGACAGCAATTGGCAAATAAACTGTATTAAAGGTAGTTTTATGATTAACAAGAAGTATCCTAAAAAAAGATACGCGGCCGAAGTTAAACTGCCTTTACTTGCGTAGGTTATTTTGGAGATGTTGTGTATATACATTTGTACATGATGACATAAAAGCAGTGACTGCTTAAACACGACAATTATTATATGTGCAAATTCTCAGTTATTGAAAGGCTATTTAGACTTGGAAAATATAAAATTGTAAAACATAAAATTAATAAATCTTCAAAGCCCGTTTTACAGTATTTTGTGCATGTGCCTAACCTAATACAAAGGTTAACTATACTGCCACAGAAAGTTTGATTCCATTTAGTTTGTTAAAGAATTAAGTCGTTTATAGATTTTAGTAAAAATCTTTTATATAATTTTACAAATTTTTGAATGGCCAATGAGATTTCTGGATTTCAGTTTGTAATTTTAAAATGACCAATGGAAATCCAACTTATATTCATTTCCTCTCTGTAAATTTTACAGGAAGTCAAACCGTTCTCAGACGAACTTCGTCCGAAAAATAAGTCTGACAAACATAATCATCTTTATAATACCCATTTACAAACTATTTTAATTTGATCGAAAATAAAGTCTGCTTGTTACAATTTATGTTATTTGTACTTTGAAAATAATTCGAAAATAAACCATGTACGTTTTACAATCTACATTTGGAAACCGGAAGTCCCGGGTTTAGATCGACAGTAATTTGATTTATAAGACACATTTTGTAATCAAAATATTACCAAAAATAATTTTATATTTTCCGACATATGTCTTTACTCAATATTCAAACTTAAGACTACATCCTAAAAACTTGATGGTCGTCTCGTAGATCTATTTTCAATCCGAATTAACTCCGAGATGATTACGAATAATTGGCGAGTTGTTCCAAATGGTGCCAATTGATGTGTGCGTTATTTAAGTGCCAACTGATGTGAAAGCAATGTTAATGATTGGTATCATATTTCTGAAATTAATAAATGATAGCAGTGGGATGCCGATTTATTTGCTTGCTTGATTTATTTCACTTTCAATTTTAACGATTCTATATTTTTTAAAGTGGGCGCCTGTTACGATTTTTTGAAATAATAG